AACCGTCCTCTTACTGAATACGAACTAGAATTGGCTGAAAATGACGAATTTTGGCTAGATGATGACAACCCTCAAGAAAATAATGAAAATATACCTCTTTCAAGCAGTGATAAACTAGATGCTTGTAAAAATATTCTGGAATGTGGAGATGAAAGCGACAAAGAAGAAGAAGAAGATGAAGAAATACAAAGCGATCATTACACTGAGAGTGAAGAAGTTTTGAGAACCAGACAATAATGAAAATTTAGAAAATATAGCGCCAGAAAATGAACAAACAAGAAACAATTATTGGTATGGTAAAAAAGATAAAATGAAATGGTCAAGACACCTCCAAAAAAAGGTAAAACACTCTCAAACAATTTGATTAAATTTTTAGCAGGCATCAAAGGTTTAGCACGTGAACATCCTCCTACAACTCCTCTAAAAAGTTGGAGATTACTTTTTAATGACTCAATGATAGAAAGTATTGTGCAATTCACGAATCAACGTATTGACATAGTAGCTGCTAAATACAGTCGATGCAAAAGAAAGAAAAATGCGCGCCGATCATTTTTTCCAACATTTATCAAAACTACAGATAAATTGGAAATTGAAGCGTTTATTGGTCACCTTTACCTTCAAGGTTTGTTCAAGTCAGGCCATGAGGACTTAAAAAGTCTATGGGCTACGGATGGTACAGGAAGGGATCTATTTAGAGCTACTATGCCACTAGCCAGATTTTTATTTCTTTTATGCTGCATTCGTTTCGATGACGAGACTACTCGAGCGGATAGAAGAAAAGAAAATAAACTAGCACCAATTTCTGAAATGTTTGATAAATTTGTCACTAATTCAAAGAAAAACTATACACCTGGTGATAGCATGACTGTAGATGAAATGTTAGTACATTTTAGAGGCCGTTGTGGATTTCGAATGTTCATACCCAACAGACCCGCAAAGTACGGCATAAAGGTACAAATTCTTGCAGATTCTCAAACACATTATATGCTTAATGCTGAAATTTACGCTGGAAAAGATCCTACAGAGAAAAAAACAAACAACTTTTCTAATCCAACCCAAGTAGTTCTTCGTTTGGTGGAACCAATAAAAAATACTTCTCGAAACATAACAGCCGATAACTGGTACTCCTCAGTTGAACTAATGAGAGAATTAGAGAAATTAAAGTTGACATTTGTTGGGACAGTGAAAAAAAAACAAAACATTTATTCCTTTGGAATTTATGCCATCTCCCAAGAGAAAAGCAGAGTCATCCATTTTTGGGTTTACTGCTCAGAAGACAATAGTATCATACGTACCCAAAAAAATAAATCTGTTATTCTTTTTTCAAGTACCCACCATGATGATAAAGTGGACGCCCAAACCAAAAAAGTCGAAGATGGCCAATGACCATTTTTCATGCTCTTTTGAATATTGGAGGGATAAATAGTAATTTATCAATTTGCCTCAGGTGATAAAGAAATTTCAAGGTACAATTTTTTAAAACAACTTGGACGTAATTTAGGTATACCGCATATGCAAAAAAGGTATTAAACTTCGTTGCCACGCGGTTTGAAAACTTTAATTTTTAATTTGATTGGAGATACACTTCCATCACCCCCAGCACCTCAACAAAGAGTGGGAGCCTCTAAAAGAAAAAGAAGTGCAATTTGTCCCGTCAAAAAAGACAGAAAAACCAGCACCTACTGTCAAATGTGTAATATTCCAGTGTGTATGGAATGTGCAAAAACTTTGTGCCCAAACTGCGCCTAATTTTTTTTTATTAATAGCTATTGTTTTTTAGTTATGTTTCCATTTATGTGTTTATAAATAAATGTCAAAATATTATTTTTTATTGTTTTTTATGAGTAAAAAAAACTGGGTCTCTGTGACCCACTCATAGTGTTTACGAAATAATTTTAGGGTGGTAGTGGTTAAGGGTTAACATAACATTTCCATACACTTTAAAAAGCACTTCTATAATTTATTTCCAGTCACATCTGACGGTTTATTTATCCATTTTGATTGAATTGTTGTAGTACATAATAATTAAATATTAATATTACATCATCTATTAAGTAATAAACAAAGTACTTTTAGAAAACTTTTAAACATAATTTTATTATTTGTATTATCCAAAAGTTTAAAATAAGTAAATTTATTTGGTTGACAAAATGACGCCACCTAGCGAAATTTCAAGACTACTATCAACAAAAGTATAGCTGAATTAGTTAAATTTGTTTTGGGTTAACTGTGACGTCACTCGATGAATACTTTAAAAGTCATCCCATTTAAAACGTACATCGATACATCCTTTTATAAATTACGATGGTCAAACATTTTTAAATTCCAAAGATCATTTTGACCCAGAAAGATAATAGGCCTTTTCCTTGGCATCTAAGTATAGCACTGAGATACACCACTTCTGAAAATATCGTTCCATTTATACAAATTGTATCGATTGAACTATATTTTCAGAAGTGATGTAGCTCAGTGCTACATTTGCCTTTTAAGTAGGTTTTGTTACACAAACAACAGATTTAAGGTATCCCCAAAACAAATAGTCTAAGGGAGTTGAATTAGGTGATCTTGGGGGCAATTTATTTGCTTCTTTTCTGCCAATCCAACTGTCTGGAATATCTCGTTTAACCTCTGTCGGATGGGAAGAAAAAAATGAGGTTTAGCACCATCCTGCTGCAAATTATTACCTTCTGTTTGAATTATACGATGTAAATTATATTTAATAGGTGATTTAGCTCAAATTGCTCTGGTACTGCGTTGATTCATAAATTGACCAGGGCAAATAAAATCAGAATAGCTTGACCGGTTTGCGGGCCAAGTCTACTTTACGATAAAATAAAAGATACAATAATAGGTACTATAACGACAAAAGAATGTTGAGCGCATCAAGTTTTTGAGTAAAAACTTTGGAAAACTATGTCATTTTACATGCCCTGTTTCATTGAGTCGGTGTCTGGTACCTCAAGTTATGTGTTACGAGTTTAGACAAATAAAAGACAATAGGAAAATTAATAGATTTAATGAAAAAATGCAATGTTTATTACATTTAATGAAAAACCGATTAATGACTAATGAATTTTTGAATCTGTCTGATATTAAGTGAGGCTACTTCGACATTACTTCGAACTACGTGAAGCTACGTTGAAAATTGGAGCTTGGAGCTTGAAAGCTACGTAGAAACTACTTCACAACTACATCAAAAATTACTTGGAAGCTTCGAGCTTGGATAAGCTACGTAACTTGGAAATTATTTTGAGAAGCTAAGTTACTTGGAGCTTGGAGAAGCTATGTAACTTGAAATTTGGAAGCTACGTACCTTGAAGCTTGGAGTTTGGAGAAGCTACCTAACCTGGAGGTTGGAGCCATTACAGGTTTAGAAATAAAAAGAACCTTAGTAATAGGAATATTACATCTACAGGCCAGTTTAGAAATCTAACGGACTTATGCATAAACGGGACAAATAATAAAGTTACATCATCTGAACAGAATATAAAATATTGATAGAGTCAAAATAAGTTATAACAATAAGTTTTACGTCAACTGAATAAAATATAAAATATTTATGAGGCCAAAATAAGTCATAACAATAAGTTTTACATCATCTGAACAAAATAATAATTTAAGAGCCATAGATTTCCGTTTTAACTGTATTTTCAGGCTGACTTGTAATTCAGTTATTTAGTTGCCTCCCCGCGTATATATCAAAGAAAGCTTAAAAGTATTATTAGGTGTGGTAGATATAATCTATATAAAATAAAAAAACAATAACCGGCATGGTGGTAATAAAAAAAAATAAAATGGCCGACCTTTCGGCTTTCCAACTAAATCCAGCAAAGCGGTAAAATATAACCTGAGATGCTCTTAGAGGCTGGAGGGGAGTAGGGGTAAAAAAAACGAATAACACCGAAACGTTCGACCTTTGATTTCCATACACGACGGACATAATTATTTGTCAATTTCCATTTAGAAGTGGATTTTGTTTTTTAGATGTGCATATTTTGGTATAAGTATATTTTTTATGACGTGTCATCAGTTTTGGAAATATGACGTCATCTCCAGTTTTTTTAAATAACACTATTATTTTTGACAGTACCATTTAATAGAAATACAAGCAAAACAATTCTTAACCGATCCCCCATTTCTTAACTTTTTTCTAGAGATAACTAATAATTAAAATTGGAAAACATCCCCTCACTTTACCCCTCTCCTATCATCTGGGCTAGAGAGACAAGGAGGGTATACTTAAAACGCTATACAGGGCATTATTTTGATCCGATTCAAATGAAATTTGGGCATCAGGAATTAGAACCTAGGAAATAAGACTGACTTGGAAATGAAACTAAAGGAAAATATTATGCAGAAACCAAAGAGGACGAGAGAAATACTCTATTTAAACAATTTTATCTTAAATTAATTTTTAAGGTGCTCTTGAAGGCTGGAGGGGAGTGGGGGTAAAAAAACGATTAAGGGTAACATCTACCCCTCCTAGGAGGTTGAGCCACGAGTGTTTAAAGAACCTATTGAAGGTGTCTCTCTTAAAAATAAAATTGACTGGTTTTTGCTATTTTGAATATTATTTACTGGAAGGAAGATTCAATGTGGGAAGTTTTCGGTGTGTCATCCTGTATTTTAAGTGTTTGTTTTTGTATTCATGAGCCAAAAAAAAAATAGTGACATATTCTCAAATAATATGCCACTATTGCTGTCGCAGAGCGATTGTATAATTCTATATTTCTATGATATCAAATAACATATGTTTTTTCAATTACTCAAGTAAAAAGCTTGTAAAGAGAAATCAAAAACCCAAATTAAATTTTTAATTAAAGCGCTTTCAAACAATTTTACTTAAAAATTTTTAAGTTTTCAAATTCACTGTTATTGTATTTTTTGTCCAACCTGAATCGTATTTATTTAACAATTAAAATAAATTATATTTAAAATAAAATTAAAATAAATATGTTTACAAATAATATAATTCATCCATTCATGAATCTGTTTATTACCTAAATTCTGAATTTTGCTCCAAATCAGCTTCGCAAGCTCTTTGTCCTACATTATTTTGTCTATAACAAGGATTTTCTGGGGAATTTAAACAATCGTTCATCATGTTCGCATATTTTAGAGGACAGCAAGGATTTGGACAAAAACTGTACAAAGCACAGCTAAAAATAAACAAATTTTAAAACATGTCGAATAGATAGCGAAGACACCTAAACAATGTATTGTAAAACAAATTATTGTAAATATTAAAAATATATGACGTGTTTGATGATTAAAATTAGATTTTGAGCGAAATTAACCCTCCTATTTTTAAACAGTAGTACTCTTTTTAAACTAGGTGGAGTCACGATACACATACTAACGGTATGTTCCTGCGCTCATATTTTTAATTACTTGCTTCGAAAGGCTAGCAGTGACTGAATTGAACATTGATATTAGACATGGATAACGCAGCGCTGCGTTGCGTTATTACGTTAACGCAGTTGTATGCGTTACGAGCGTTGATACACCAGCTGTTACTGTATCAGCGCAACGCAATTTTCGATACTGAGTCGAAAGGATCGCGAGTTGTTGATGCGCCAGGCATTGGTTCCGTTTTCCGTGACGAGTTGAGAATTTTAATTTACGTAATTGATGCAACTCGTAATGCAGATTACCCAAAATTTATCAAGTAATTATGTTCTTTGCAACTTGTCACATCATTTGTAGGATTGTAGGTCGAATTTTATGGATTTTAACCTTGTACACTGTCAGTTTTTAGTTCTTCTCATTTTGATTGGCTACTAGTAAACAAAAGTTATATCCTTTTTATATAAATTGGAATTTTTGTATTCTTTGTAAAATCCAAACACAATGAAATAAAAAAATGGGTGCATTACACTGTTATATTTTCGTTTATTTTTAAACATATAATAAAAAAATTTTAGTTAAATTCCCAATAGAGGACTTCTATACAAGGGAAGTGCAACAAAATAAAATTGACACTAATGACATAAGAAATCGGGTCACATAAAGAGGCTGTTTTTTAGTTTGATTTTTGGTTTTTCCTATCTACTTTCATGCCATTTGCATACCTTGTTGTACCCGTAACGTGAAAAAGACTTTTTATTTTAGGGTATTTTACATTTAAAGGTTGAAAACATTTGTCAATATCAGCTGTCGATAATGTCAAAACATAAGCGTAGCATTGCATTTTATTTTTTGTTGTTATTAGTCTAATTGTGTTTCTCCTGCTTTCTTGAAACATTATTTTTCATTTGGTTTTATTTATTTATGTCGATTGCAAAATGCTGCTGCTACGAATACAAGCCTATAAAATATACAACCAACTTACAATACTAGTTACGTTATGCCCATCTATGGTTACGCCTGTGTTCTATCATCAACATAATTGACAGCTGACAATGACAAAATATTTCAACCTTTAAATGTAAAATACCCTAAACTAAAAAGTCTTTTTCACGTTACGGGTACAACAAGGTATGCAAATGGCATGAAAGTAGATAGGAAAAACCAAAAATCAAACTAAAAAACAGTCTCTTTATGTGACCCGATTTCTTATGTCATTTGTGTCAATTTTATTTTGTCAAGTTGGTTGCCCTTCCCTTGTATAGAAGTCCGGTCTGACATTATAAAAGGCCAGCCCGCCCTGAATAACACCGGTATCATGCGATACACCGAGGTGCATCGACTTCATTCGGCGCAGGCAGTGTTGTGATGCAATAACGCAATTGCGTTAACGCAATGAGTTGGCGCAATAGAGTGCGCCGGAGTTAGTGTACCAACGCAAAGAATTTTACTGCGTTACCCATGTCTAATTGACATAACATAAAGTGCGGCGAGATAACAGTTAGTGATCGGTAAGGTGGGGGAAAAAAGCTTGAAAGCTTAAAAAACAATCTAAGCCTGGGAGAATGGGATAATTCGCCGTCGCCGATTCGCCGTCAGAATATAAATTTTATAGAGGTTTTGGATTCAGAAACAAATGAAATCTGTGAGAACATAAGGACCTTTTTTTATTTTCTTTTAAAATAGATAAAGTTACAATTTCGTTACAGTCCATATTGATTTAGGTATGAGCATAAAGGTAGATATTAAAATTAAGAATTTTAACAAAAACCATTAAACGGTATACCTACTATTCACTTTTAATTTTTGTACTACCCACTAACGAAAATTTACAAAAAAACTCCAATCATCTGCGTGGAAGACAAGAACGCTAATCACAAGACCACCTACTCTTTTATTTTTTTTGTTTTAATACACGTAATTAAATTAATTTCATATAGTTTTATTTAAATTAACAAATTAATTATAATTATAGACGAAATAAAAATTCGAGAGACGCTAAAATTGTGGTACCCACCTTATCGAGACTGAGGCCCACAAAGGTAAACCCGTAGCGTAAATAAAAGGGAAATGATTTAACTTGGAATGAAAGACCGAAAGCCGATAGTAGTATTAGGACGTTGAATTTTTTTGGTTTGTGAAGCATTGGCATTACTTAGGTTAAACCATGTGATGATTTTCACGAGCCTTGATTTTTAAAACCATTTTATATTGCCTTTTGATTAGGGTTTACAAACTTGTTCGAGCAATTTTTCCAATAATAATTGGCCCCTTTACCTCTTAAGCCTGCTCATGTAAAATATTTGGGCTCCTTACTTCGCCTATTTATATAATATTAATAAAAGGACAAAAGGATGAGTATTGCAACTATGTTAAAAGAAATAAATTGGCTTTCAGTTTAGAATTATGTTTAGTACATGACTGATATTTATTTATAAAATAAAAATGACATATTGCATCAGATCTATTAGAAAAAATTTAATATAATTCGCAATATCACAACTACAGGGATTTCATTTCAAAACTAGACACCCAAAATAACTTTAAAAATATCTTTAAAACAAAAAACATAAAAACACTTTAATTTATATTTACGGGGGGACACATTTTACAAGTATCTGTAACCGTGCAGTTTCATCCCCTAAGCGGTAGTGAATATCACTTCTAAAATTTTAAATAGGATGGGGTATCATGTGATAGCTCTTCTTAAAGGTCTCTTTTTTCCAATCTTTTGACTAAATATTTTTTTAAATTGGATTAATTTTTCACCAAGTTATGCCATTTTAACCTTTTAAATTAAAATAATTATTATTTACATTGTATTTACATTACTAATATTTTATTTGCGTAAGAATTACATTGTACTTAAATAAGATGTTCAAAATGTCCGCCATTGTTGGCAAGGCAATGGTAAAGTCACAGCTCGAATTCATCCCGCACTTTTTGAAGCGTCTCTGGTGTAATCCGCTCACACTCCTCCACTATTCTACGTCTGAGTTCAGGAATATCGCGAGGTTAAATTTTATACACCACAGTTTTTAGATGTCCCCATAAAAAAAAGTTAAGGGGTGTTAGATCGGGTGATCTCGCTGGCCATTCTATAGCGCCCTTGCTTCCGATCCATTTATCTGAAAATGTCTCATTAAGCCAATTTCGTACAGTCAAGGCATAATGTGGAGGTGCTCCGTCCTGTTAAAAAAATAGGTTTTCTTCGTCTAGTAACAAATTTAATTTCCATCTTGATCTATTTGGTTTTCTAAGGATTCGGTTACAAGAGGATTTATCAGAAGTTCAAATACAATTCCCCAGTTAAATTTTCCTCCATGAGAATAGGACCAATAATTTTATTACCAAGAATTCCGGCCCATACGTTGATTTTCTGAGGATATTGGCTGTGCTCTTCCCGAAAAACATGTGGATTTGTATTGTCCCAGTACCTACAATTATGTTTATTGACAAATCCATTTAAAAATAAACCTGCCTCGTCAGTAAAACAAATATTTTTAATAAAATTATGGTCTTCATTTGCCCTTTGAGTCATTAATTCGCAAAATTCTAATCTTCTCTCATAATCATCCTCAGCAAGCTGTTGTAAAAGCTGTATTTTGTAAGAAAAGAATTTATTTAGCCGTAACGTTTGTTAATCTGGAGACTTTTGGTATTGATGTTTGAGGTTCCATGGCAAAATGACCTAAAATCTCAACTTTTGCAGCTTCAGTTAAAACTCTACGATTCCTTACAGTTTTATTGCACACACTTCCAGTTTCTTGAAATTCACGAACTAAATCCAACACATACTGATGCTTAACATTTTTATCGGGATGTCTCTGATTAAAAACACGAGCAGTTCTGCGTGCACAGCGTTGTTCTTCACCATAAATAAAGATTATTTCAATTCTTTCTTGTAAAGAATAAACCATTGTCAAAATTAAATTGTCAGTACACAACGAAACCAATAATCTACTAATAATAAATTGTTTTAATTTACGGTCAAAAATATCTTACGCAAAAAACATTTAAGGTTTTTGCTAACTTGTTTATCTCGGTATTTATACTCATGCATTTTAATTCAATATTAATCCGATTTAAAAAAATAATGTGTCAAAAGATTGGAAAACAAGAGACCTTTAAGAAGAGCTATCACATGATACCCCTTTCTATTTAAAATTTTAGAAGTAATATTCACCACCGCTTAGGGGATGAAACTGCACGGTTACAGATACTTGTAAAATGTGTCCCCCCGTAAATATAAATTAACGTGTTTTTTGTTTTTTTGTTTCAAAGATATTTTAAAAGTTATTTTGGGTGGCTAGTTTTGAAATGAAATCCCTGTATAATACAAGCCAATCTGATTTTCATGTACGGCAAGTCATCACTAAAAGTTCCCAAAATACAATTTTTATTAAAGGTTTACAAAAATTTAATAGACTGTCTACATAAATTAAAAAAAAAAAACAAATATATTCAAAAGTAACCTCAAACAACACTTGATTAATAAACAGAAGAGATATATGCTTACTTTCTTGTGATAATACTCTTTAAACCTGCCATTTTTAAGTATATCCTTAATTTATTGTTTTACCCGTATTTATTATAAATTATTTCTGTTTTGAGATCATGTATTTTATTTTAAAAAATTACTTTATGTTATATTAATACTACCTACCATGTTTAAATTATTAATAGTTTTGTCACTATAGGTTATGTTATAGCAACTTATAGCCACAAAACTATTTTTGTGTTAAAGTAGATCCATAGAGATCAATATAATTTACAAAGGCCTTTTTTCAACATACAAATAACTGATAACTTTATAATTAAAATGAAAAACCCAACAAAATATCTCTGTATCATAATCGATCAAAATTTGAAATGGGTTGATCACATTACGTCATTAACAACCAAAGTTAGAAGATTAATTTTTAAATTTTATGAATTGAGGAAATTTATGACTAATTATTATTTACAATTCGCTGGTTGAATCTAGTTTGCGATATGGTATAATGTGGACTATATGATATTGCACTTCAACTCCTCAATGTAATCCAAAATCGTATAATTAAAACCAGCATTATATAAAAGAGTATAATAAAAAAGTGCTTTGTATAAGAACATTATATTATCTGTCTTGCTACCTTTATTTATGAAAAGCCGGAATTGAGATACACTACAAATTATTTGCAATAAATATCAAAAGAAGCATACAAACATTTTTAAATAATTTGACATTTAAGAGTCATTCACACATCACAGTTGACATCTTAATACTTGACAGGCAGAGCCAAGCATTATTTTGATTTTTGCCAAATAAAATGGCCGGTTAATTATTCTATCGGGTTTCAACAGAGAGCCAGTAAATTTGATAGGTGTTTTTGTGGCTAGGAGCAAAATAGTAGTAAATTTAATTTAGCACCACCATAAAAAAGTCATTTTTAAGAAAATGCTTATATATTTTTTATAAATTGGCAGGCTTGGCGACTAATTTCAAATAAAAATAGCCTTCAAAATGGCTATGTTTGCATTATGAAGGTCGCAACCCGCCTTAGAAATCTCATCTTTACAATCAACAGCTGCTGTCTCACAGGTCGTTGGATAATGTTTGCAATGTATGGAATTTAAAGAATATTAGGAATGTCAGACGTTAGAAATAATTGAAATTCCTAAAACTAGTCATAGGAAATGCACAAGTGGATTTTAAGAAAATTGATATTAAAGTGGTTAGGATGAATAGAACATTTTGAAGATCAATAGGGTTCTAAGTTAGAAGCAATTATTCAAGAAAATCAAAACCGCAAGTCAATCAGAACTTTCGTTCTAGAGTTATCGTGCCAGCATACATACATACAGACGACCAGTCGAAAAATTTTTTTTTGCATTTTCGGACTCATAATGATCGGAAACATGAAAAAAGTTTAAAAAACTGGGGGTTAGAAAATTTTTTTGTCTGCACGAATGCAATACTGAGGCCCCATAGGAAGGGGCTCGGTAAAAAGAAATGCCATTATTTATTGATTCTACACAAGAATAACCCATTTTAATATATGTTTAATCCTAATGACTAAAAAATATACTGACAATTAATTTGACAGAATTGTCACTTATATAAAATTTTAAAAATATTAGCAGTCGGTTGATCAAAATATGAACGGTGATTGACGGATTTAATTTTTGGCAGTGTTCTCACTACCTAGAATTGATATGAAATATATTCGTTAAGCTGAAGGCAATAGCACACTTTTTCGTTTTTTAATCTGTGCGTAGATAAGGTAATATCCATGTGGGTGCAGAAAAAATAAATATCGATTATGGTGAAATATAAATTGCATTTTAAAAGCTTATTGCATGCCTTGATTTCTATAACAAAAAAATAAATATTATGTTCTATAAATATAAAAATCTATGAAATGTTAAATATCCTGACGGCGAATAGGCTGACGGCGAGTCGGCCCTACGACGAGTCGGCGACGGCGAATTGTCCTAGACCCAAGCCTGGGCTTATAAAAATCAAGCCAAGCCAAGCTTTTTCTTCTAGGAAAGCTTGAATTTCAAGCCAAGCCAATCTTTTTGTTTTCAAGCCAAGCTACTTGGCTTAGTTAAACACTGCTAATATATGACTTAAACACGTAGTAAACGTGTGTATTCAACAGAAATTCAATCTATCGCGAAAGTTTAAAAAAATTCAGAAAAACTAGGCCGTTTTTAACTTGATTACTCTGTATATCGAAAACTATAGGATAGAGCTGAGCCTAATGGTACTTCTGGTTACTAGATTAAGTACAATAACAAAACAAAACAATAACAAAATTTCAAAAAATTTTACCGGTCGCCACTTTACATATTAGAAAAAATAAAGGTACTTTACTATTACATAAAATTCATATTTTTCGACAAAAATCTTACATCAAAATTTAATATCTAATGACTGTAATTTCAGTTGTAGACCATGCAAAACTTTTAATGGAGAATAACTTTTTTTAATAAAACTAATAAAAAAGTTTCCCAGTAGACACACTGTATACAGGCTATAGATTTTGTTATTTAAACTAGTGGTGTTATTTTTGTACTAACCTGAAATCAAAGAGGTCATCAACCCTAGCATCGTCGTTATAAGGTCCGTAATTATAATCTAAACAATTGGCGAAATTATCACATTTTTCGTGAAAACGCTTCAATTCTGGAGTTTTTTTCATTGTGTACCAACACATGAAATAGCTTGCTGTTACTCTCCATTGATATCTTTCCAAGGGACCTAATATACATGTCAACATATAATAAGTCAATTTGAAAAGCATCTAAATCATATTGTTGACAAGTGAAAAGTTAGGGTTTATTTTCATATAGAACATGACAAGCCACAGCAAAATAGCCGCAAGTGAAGGTGCTCCTGTTGCGAATATGGCAAATATTGGCGAAAATACGCGTATTGATAAAGATTTTTTATATGATAGTGTTAAGGAAAAATATTTTTTACCTAGTGACAGTGGTGGATCGTTCGAAACAACTCAGGTAGGTCTTTTTTTCAGATTTTTGTGGCTTATCATGTTTTTGGGAAAATTATTTGCGTCGAATCCGGTAACAAAAATTGATATGCCAAGTGGCTTATCATTATATTTTATATTGCTTATAAAATATTCTAATATTTCTACAGAACTTCGGCCATACTCATAATATAGTGCTTATCCACTTTTTGATAAGAAAATAATTAGGTTTTTATTTTAATTTTTTTCAGTACACCGGATATGTACGATTTTCCCCAAGTCGAATGAGTATTTTCAATCATCTACACGCTATACATAATTGGAAATATCTTCAGTCTGCAGCTTATTTGGTTTTCGTAATAAAGTTGTTTTTTTCAGAGTGAGGTTGACAACAGGTCATTTGTAACGCATCCAGAATCACAAGAGGTGCTGAGAAGTCTCTTAAGAACGCACACCGACAAGGTGGATGTTAAGAAACGATCAAACTTACAAACGCGAAAAACAAAAAAGGAGGAGAAATTCGGAAAACCAGTACACATCAAAAAGAGCTAGGAAAACAGTTGAACCACGCGAGATAGGGCTACCTTTTCTTTGTAAGAGCAAATTCAGAGAAAAGTTTGGGAATGCTTATAAGACTATTTTTACAAAGTTTCGCGACCTAGGATCACTTGACCTTCAGAACAGTTACTTAGTTGGTTGTATAAGACTGGACACCCAAAACAGGCCCTATATGAAAAAACAAAAGCGTCAAGAATCCAGAAGAAAATTTTCCGCTCAGTATTTGTGAATGTTAACGGCGGGGATGTTAAAGTCTGTAAAGTGGAATTTATGAGTATTCGTGGCCTTTAAAAATCACGTGGGAGGATTAACAATCTTGACATAATAAAATCCACAGGAGCTGTTGTGCCCAATCAAGATGGCCGCGGTAAACATAACATAAGACCAAATAAAATCAGTGATGAGTAGATAAATTCGGTGAAAACTCATATCGAAATGATTCCTAAATACCAAAGCCACTATAGCAGGAGTAATAATTTAAACAAAACCTATTTAAATTGTGATATGACTATCTCTGGCTTATATAATGACTACTATGTATCATGGTGTAAAAAAGAAAATACTCCACCTGTTAAAGAAAGCGCTTATAGAAAAAAAAAATGTGTACCAATTACATTAGAGGTCACTGATGATATCTTTAGGGATATAGACAAAGGGTATACAAACGTTTTAATACTTCTAGATTATACAAAAGCCTTTGATACAATTAACCATCAGCTTCTGTTCAGTATTCTTCACTATGTTGGTTTTTCGGTTAAAGCAACTGAATTTATTAAAAACTATCTTTCCGATCGTTTACAGTTTGTTGAAACAAGTGCCGGTAGATCTGATATTAAAAATATTGCCTGCGGTTTGCCACAGGGCTCTATTTTGGGACCAATTTTGTTTTGCATTTACTCTACTAATATTAGTTCGGCTCTTACCAATGGCAGAGTTTATATATATGCTGATGATACGCAAATAAGGTTTTCTTTGTCTGATTTTAATGTTGCTCTTACTAATGAACTGATTAACTCAGAATTAATAAAAATCGTAAATTATTCTAACAGACATCAGCTAACTATCAATCCCGCAAAAACACAAATACTCGTCATTGGAAAAAATAAAAAAGAACTAGCAGAACATTTATCTGTGAGTATTGATGGTGTCTTGGTGGCTTGTGTAGATGTTGCCAAAAATCTGGGTCTTCATCTTGATACTGACTTAAAATTTAAAAGCCATGTAAATAATTGTATAAAAAGGGCTTACGCTAATTTGAAAATGCTTTACCCGCATCGCCATGTTTTAGATCAAAATATAAAAATACTTCTTTGTGATACTATGGTTCTCAGTCATTTTAATTACTGCGATGTCGTCTACGGGCCTTGTATTGACTATGTGGATATTAATCGTATTCAAAGAGTACAAAATTCTTGTCTTCGCTACATATATGGTATAAAAAAATACGAAAGGATAAGTCACAAACTAATTGAAACTTACTGGTTAAATATGGAAACTAGAAGGAATTTACACATGGTAACATTGTATCATAAGATCATTTCATTAAAGTCGCCTCCTTATCTCTATAATAAAATTACATTTCGAAGTGATGTGCATAATGTATATACAAGGTTTAGAGGGCATATATCTCCACCTCTCCATCGTACCTCCAAATTTCAAGGTTCATTCTCTCATATGATATTTAAACTATATAACCTGGTTCCTCCTAAACTCAAACATCTTTCGACAAATATGTTTAAGCAAAAGTATAAACATCTCTTGATGTCAGAAAATATCTAGTCAAAACAACCATTAGATATTATAATAAAATGTAATATTACATTTATAAAATGTGTATTTATATTTTTGTCTCGATTGTGCCACACTTTATTCGTTGTATTTTATTATTTTAATATTTTTCTTTTCTTTATTAGGGATAGCAATTAATATCAGCTATGCTGTCTGCTATTCCCTTTTTGTAGTATTATACTATTTTGTTCGATAAAATTTATGTATTTAATGCAAATTTACCTGTAATACTGCAAATAAATTATTATTATTATTATTATTATTATTATTATTATTATTATTATTATTATTATTATTATTATTATTATTATTATTATTATTATTATTATTATTATTATTATTATTATTATTATTATTATTATTATTATTATTATTATTATTATTATTATTATTATTATTATTATTATTATTATTATTATTATTATTATTATTATTATTATTATTATTATTATTATTATTATTATTATTATTATTATTATTATTATTATTATTATTATTATTATTATTATTATTATTATTATTATTATTATTATTATTATTATTATTATTATTATTATTATTATTATTATTATTATTATTATTATTATTATTATTATTATTATTATTATTATTATTATTATTATTATTATTATTATTATTATTATTATTATTATTATTATTATTATTATTATTATTATTATTATTATTATTATTATTATTATTATTATTATTATTATTATTATTATTATTATTATTATTATTATTATTATTATTATTATTATTATTATTATTATTATTATTATTATTATTATTATTATTATTATTATTATTATTATTATTATTATTATTATTATTATTATTATTATTATTATTATTATTATTATTATTATTATTATTATTATTATTATTATTATTATTATTATTATTATTATTATTATTATTATTATTATTATTATTATTATTATTATTATTATTATTATTATTATAGTTACCTAAGTCAGATACTTGTAAAACGTGCGACGAGATGAATATAAAAATTAATACTTTGAAGCAAAACAACAATGCACAAGAAGTGCAAGAAATACCAGAACACTAGAGGTTCATAAGATCAGAGCTAAAGCAATGCAAGACTTTCTTAAATTGAAAGTAGATAGCTCAAAACGTGTTGAAAATAAGTAATATCATTCGATTTGCAGCAGGCCATTCCAATTCCGAAATTAACAAGAGGACCTGCGTTCTATTGCCGCAAAATCTGGTTCTATAATCTTGGAGTTCATTAGTGTACGAACGAGAAGGGTTACATGTATTAAGACGGAAGACCAAGCTAAACGAGGTGCTGACGAAATTATATCCGCAGTATTGAAATTTTTGAAAAATAAGAATAATATTGATGAACCTATAGTTTTTACGCACAAATGTCCAGGCCAAAACAAAAATTGTCAAATGATGTCTTTTTGGCTTCAGTCGATTAAAAAAAAAATTAAACCAATTACACACTATTTTTTTGGTCACACTTATTTGGCCTCTAACAGGGATTTTGCAAAAATCGAAAAAAGACAAAAAAGACATGCTCCTGTAATTTATTCACCAGAAGGCTGGTACCAAGTCATCTGAAAAGCAAATAAAAAAATTCATTTGTCGTTACTTCAATGACTCAAGACGACTTCTTTTCTGTCGAGCCCTTGTTGCATAATGTTAATAAAAATGCACGTTCTGCTGATAAACGGCAGTTGGATTTTTTTAGGGTTTACGCTTTCCATTTTAAAGTAGAGAAACCTGTATCCTTCTTTATTAAACACACAATAAATGGGGAATATATGGAAATTAAAGTTTTAAAAAAAGGAAGACCAGCAAGTACTAAAACCATATCTGACATCATCAAAAAAAGTACACCGAGCCAATAAAAATTGCCGAAAATAAATTAGTCAACATTTAGACATTGTTGCCATATATTTCGCCTATTTATCACTCATTTTACAATCAGTTAAATGCAAATATTAATTTGGAAAACCCAGACGAAGTTGTAGAAATATTAGACGAATAAGAGCCACCTACCGATTTATTAAACTTACAAGAAGTTTTTTTCAAATACCTGTTTTAGTTTCAATGTTTATATTTTTCTCATATTTAACTTTGTAAGAAGTTTTGTACTAAATTTTGTTTTTTCGAATTGAGTAGTTTTTTACCAAAAAAAGTGATAAGCCACAATTTTTTCTGTATTTGATAATTATTTCAAATTCCATCAATTTTTTCTTAATTTTTTTCTGATTCAACTTTAAACTTCAGAGGAAAATCGTTAAAATGATTTGTTTGATATGTACTTCGTCACTAGTTTGTTTTATAGATTTTGTTAAAATTTTAAATCGTTATTTCTCAATATTTTATTTTAATGGCTTGTCATTATGTTGCAAAAAGCCCTTTAATTAGATACTGATATGCAAATTAGTTTACATAAAAAAATTCAAAAATGAAACGTACAATGTAAGGTATAAATATTTTTTTATTTTTCCTATAATTTATATCCCCAAAATAATAAGTAGTCTGAGAAAAAAAAACAGTAAGTACTCTATATCAAATAAGTTCATCTGCTTAACGTAACTTTTCCTTTGTGAAATGGACCCAAGTTGAGTCTTATAATTCTAGTTGGAAAGGATCCAAGAATTTAAGAGGAGGGAACGAAAATCTAGAAATATATTGTCATGACGGCAAAAACGAGTCACTTTATGAGCGTTATCAGAAAAATTGCTTCGGGCCAGCATTGTTAGAAAACGATTTTTCGATAAAAAGAAAAAAAGGATAAATGGTAGATTAAGGTAATTTAGTAAATAACAAATCACTAGAATCCAGTTTCAAAATAATAATATTTAGCTAATAATATTGTGCTTGTTATTTGCATAAATCAATTATTTGCTGTTTATTAAACATATAAGCGTGAAATACTTAAAACTAATATATTGAATTTTTTTATTTTATATTCCCAAAGCATATTTTTGAAGTATATAGAGTTTTGTATGTTTTTTAACGAATTTTATTAGAAAATTAATTGCCTACATTTTTACTTCATGGCATAACCTTATGATTATTTATAAAAACATGAATGATCAATTTATATAACTATCTTAATCATTGACCTTATCCAACCTGTCAGAGGCCCGTCATTTTAAACGGGCAGCCATTTTGTTTGGAATGCCCAATTAGTTAATTCCTATGTGTTTGCTCATTTATATTTAAGGATTATTTTCGGGGTATTCATACTATAATTTAGTGAAAATTCAGATAAAAAGGTATCAATATTTACTTTTTTCTGCTTTGAACAATCATGGCATAAAAACTGTGCAATCATGCATTTTCAAATATAGAATACCTATGAGTTTTTCTTGTTTATATTTGAGGAAAAATCATAAAATAGATAAATGACTTGAACATGGAGCGAAAGGTAGACAAAAACTATCAAAAGGCAGACTGAAACCTTAACAAAATTGTCTCGTTGGTAGCAGCCGAAAAAAGGGGCATCTACAAGATTTTTAGATTTGGGAAAAGTCATCAAATAGATAAAGAGCAAGCATAGTATAACAATCTTTATTACAACTATAAATAGGTGGTTTTCGATGACACTACATATTTTCTCAATCAGCAATGAACGGAAGCTTGGAGAACAATAAAACTTCCTTAGCAGCAGCATAATGTACAAAGACATAGTTTGTAACGCATGACGGTAGACCAAAAGTCGTATCCACTTTCCCGTGCTTATCTGTCTAGCACCAATACTCAAATTGATATCAACTTTTCACATCTACTTTGGAATATATCCGTACCAAATAATATAGCATTTTAGCCACTAATATTTAGCAGTATAGATTCAATGAGTAGAAAAGTGAGCATACCTTTATCACCATCATTATAGGATTTACAAGATATTAATATTACATAAAGAAAGAGGTATAGAAAAACAAGCTGGATGTCAATATCCTAAAGAACAAAGTCAATAATAAAACATTTCTTCAATAAGGCAGAATGGAATCATTTATACCAACTTTATATTTACCTTCAAACGGGTCAGCTATGTGATCATCTAGTTTCTTGTTCTTCTTGCATTCTTCGTCTACTTGTTCAATCTGTGCCGTGTTTGTTTTCCACTTCCAGTGCTGTTTCATCATTACTATTGACGTGTCATCAGTTCGTCTGGCAGCTACCCCTCTGAGTTTTTTGGCCAAGTAATTAACGCATTCCATGAAAGAAGATTCACAGTATTTGTGAACTTCCCAATGCAGGGATCGCAAAGGTGGTCGAGGAAAGGTTTTAAAATATATTCTAAAAAGAAATATGTCGTTATGTCGTTTTACTACTATTGACAATGAATGGATCAAAACGTTGAAAATTTCTGAAACTCTTGACTGATGATCTTGGATTGGTGAAGAAAACCCAAAAATCTCCACCCAAAACCCAGAAAACTCCACCCATCACAATGAAAATTTTTCTAAGAGTCGTTATTCTAAGATGAGGACAAAATGCCAATACAGAACAAAACCAACAGAGGTCTAGTTAGCTATTTAAAATAGTTTACATAAAAGAGATACAAGTTTTATTGAATCAAATATTACTTACCTTTCTGCTGTTGTACTATTGGTTTCATACCTTCTATCATACTCATTGAATTTATGGGATCTCAGATAGTACCCTATATCTCTTATGTTTTCTCTTAATTCATCTATATCAACTTCAGTACCACTACTGGCAGATGCTGCAGTAGTTTCAGAATTATTTGTTACAAACCTTAAAATTAATGAAATAAGAAAAAAGGATACTAAGAAATTGTTATTTTTACTTCTCTTTTAGTATTTGACTAAAATCTTGTATACCTTTGGAAGAAGCATACGTTATTTCTTCAGTACCGATGCTAGTATTAAAAATATTATCGCACAAAATGCATGATATAAATAAAAGTGTAATCGTATTTATGTTGTTTATCATGGTTCTATTATTTCGTCAGTTATTTGACTACAGTATAAATATCGACAGTGACACCTGACAGCTCTCTTCTTTTCTTACTTTTTTGATTTACTTTTCAGCGCAATTATAAGAACTATAAATCGGTCTACCCCACATACTTTGATTACTATACGGGGCAAGAGAGAGGTCCGACACGCCCAACATAGGGCGTGGCCATTTTGATTCCTATGCCACAGTTTATAGCTAAAGAATCAGATCGTTCACTCTGCGTTGGCACTTTTGATCTCAATGTTCAAGTTTATACACTCGGATAATACAATATATGACAAGCGCCTATAATAAAACAGCAGTCTTCTGCGTATCCTGAATTTGTATCCCTGGAGTGGATGTTATTTTGGAACTTTCAACTGGTCCGAGTGGGCTAACTGATTCTTTAGCAATAAACTGTTACTCCAAAAATAATATTCACTGACACTGACAGCAGCAAGCAACATATCAGGTGCGTTTTAATCATCCGCTTCTGCTTCTGGAATTGTCGGTTTAGTCGTTTTAACCTGTCAGATTAAAACAAGAAAACCGACAATTCCGAAGCAGAAGCGGATGATTAAAACGCACCTATTAAAAATATTGCGCCAAGATGTAGGCAACACGTAATAAGGGTTCAAAATGGCGGAGTTTTCTATCTCCTTTTAAAAGGCACTTAGAAAGTTGCGCAGTGCGACTATTCTCCGTATAGTAAAAGAAAATCAAAGTATGTGCATTCACACTATCGGGTCATGTCATCGTCATATTCGACCAGTTTTTGAAACGTACAGCAGGCAATAGTGAATGAGTGTTTTTTTAGAGTTATTGTGCTTGTAGCATCGCGATCCGCGATCTAAAAAATGTTTTCAACTTCATTATTTAAAATCGCACTTATTTTGGATGCGAAAGAAGAACAGCAAAAAAGAAGATTTTGGGTACATCCAATGCTAAAAAAAGAAAAATCGAAGGCGAATTTTGTACGTTGCATGAAAAACTCATGGATGTTGATACATTTTTTTTTATTATAGAATGAAAATTAAAGAATTTCAAAACATTTTCGACAATTTAAAATTATTTTAAGATTAACTTCAAAAAAATGTTACCACATTTAGGGAATCGATTTCCCTAGCTTAAAATCTTTAGGTTATAAACATATACAGTAACCACTCTGTCCTTTTCGATACTATCGACAGCCCGCTTTTTTGTCTGACTGGTTGGTCGTTGAGCATCTACGCCAGACGGTCTGCGCGACAACGGACGATCACGGTCCGGTCAAATATTGTTGGAAATGATAGGCCTGTGACTTGACCGTGGTTTGCTTGTTCGATGACCGACATGTATGAGCGGTTTAAAAGATATCTCATTTAAAAGTATTAAAATTATATCAAATCATATTTGATCGGACCATGAGTGGACCGTGACTTGATTGTGGCTTTAGTTTTTTGGTGAATATGATTGTGCTATTATTTATATATTTAGTTCAGAACAGGCGATTTTAAATCAGATACTAGGTCCTGAATACAATTGACTCATGCAGCTATGGATTGACTACACTGATATAAATCAAAAACAATAATGTCATATTTAATATAGTCTTGAAATCTTACTTGAAATGGTCAAGTTTAACATGACTACAGTAAAAACGTGGTAATCACAGGTATTTAATGTCAAATGAAATGACAAATGTAAAACTTATGAAGACTAGAGAGCAGGAGGCAAATCGGCATTGGTCAAATTTCAAATTTGCGTCCTCTTTTTATAAAGTTTACGAAATTGACTATAGTTGGCATGTCTAATGATTGAGTCCATTAGAAAATCCTCAAACTCTTCATTTTTTATGTATGTTTAGTGATAATTCTTTACAACCTTGTCCGATTTCTATGATTCTTTTTTTGTTAGTAAAGGGGTAACTCAGAGGTAGTTCCTTATAAAATTGGTCAAAATGTGGTGATGGTATCTGCACGATTTTGAAGTCGTTTTGTCAAGTTAATGTCAATATAAACCAAACATTTTTAAATCAGATAATATATCGTCATCAATGACATATATGGTTTAAATAGACTGCTTATCCATAAGTAAATAAAACGATGAAAAGCGGGTCGAACTGGGAGATGTTTTCTCTTTGTCTAGTGCATGCAATGTTTGTGTTTTGTCTGAATTTTGAGTGCTCACTGGTAAACAAAACTTTTACAGGACCGGTTTTAAAAAAAGTTTAGTCTAGTTGAGATTTTGTTCTCATTGTCATTACTCAGTCGGACATTTTGTTGAGTTGTTTATTTTATTTAGTTTTAATTATACTTATGTTCTGTTTTAAATTTTTTAATTATTTGAGTATAAAAACTTGTTTTGTTTTTAAATTTAAATGGTGAATTGCTCTATAAAGGGTTGTAAGACCAGCTACAGAAATATAAAAGTAACATTTCATTTTTCACGCAAGTATCAATACAAGTAGGTACAAGGTAAATACGTTTATAATAATTTTATGAATTATAATTAATTATAATATTAATAAAGTATTTATTGTAAATACAATTACATAAATATTATTATATTCAAAGGCCCGAGTTACAGCTATCTGGGCTTTACAAGTACATTTTAAAATTTTGTTAGATACAGAGAAGTATCGTATAACAAAAACAATATAAATAGAAGAAAAATGGACATAAGTACCAATACAGAGAGACAAACACTGTTATTCTTTGATAGGTTCTTTCTATGTGAATTCTAGCTCTGGCAATTTTGGCATTAAGTAAAGCCTCTTGATGGCTGAACTGATTTTTTTTATTGAGGAAAGGAGGCTGTATAATTTGTATACCTTCAGCTTCTGTTATGTTTCCAATAAGAAAACCTTTGTTAAACATTTTACTATCGAGAAATGATTCACACACTTCAAGTATTGAACTTTGTTGAAAAATGTCTATTTCTGAAGTTCTACCACCATATGCTTCACTTTTGTAAGTAATGAGAACAGTAGGTAACACTCCAGTCAATATTTTAATAGTATGCCTCTTTTTGTAGTCAGAGTAATTTTTTAGCCTACAACAAAGACATTTGGCTTGCTGTATTGGGATTTCGGTACAATCAAGTAGTACTCTTACTTACATAGAGGCACATTATTTAATATTTCTTGTTTTGAAGGCCGAATTTTACCATACTAAGAACTTCTACCAGTTTTATTAAAAAATGTTAAAAAATTTAATGATAAAAAGTTTCATTCACTCCAAATAAAATGGATAAGACATTATATCTTGCATATCAGTTTTCAACTTCATAAAAGTAAATATGACTTAATCCTTTACAGACATAACTGATCTCCTTTTTCCTATTCTTTAGAAACAACGAATTCCACAATGGTGGCAATAACTGGAAGGATTGCAATCCTATTAAAGTAGATAGTTCTTTAGCACTGACAATTCTGTTTGAAAACGGATCAACTAAATTAGCACTCTTCACTTGTTTTGAACAATCGATCCCAATTTTCTGCTTCTAAACGAAGTTTTGTAAATTAAGCAAAGCTCTTCAGCAGCGCACAAATCTTCATTATCTGCTTCAGTAGTAGATATATGTTCATTAACTGCAAAAACACATTAAACATAATAATAATAATTAACCAAACATTTTAAATTATGCATACGTACATCCATTGCCTGAAGAAGATAACTCAACACTTAACATTCTACTAGTACTGGCAACATATCATTATTAAAGACAGTAGCCATAATTCTTGTTTTAGCTGGATTACTTTTCTTTTTATTAATGGTTGCTTTCTTTTTACCACTAATCTGAGCTAACTTACATCGACTAAGCTTAGTTGTACGTTCTTTTTGTGATTGTAAGTCAGAATCTTTCTTTCCCCCTTACCGATGCTAAACGGATCTTGATGTCAACTAAGATTGCACTTTGTACCTAGTTCATTTTAATATGATGTTGATCAGATTTCCAATGGTGGAATCTTATTATTATTATTCATCAAATCATTCACATTCACCGCCAAAATAATCCTTAATTGTCTAAAGGGAACAAACTTTAGAATGTGAAAAAGCTACTAACTTTTAGTAAAATCTTTAAAAAGTTTATTCAATTTTTGCATAATATCTGCTTTTATAATGCGAAATAAATTTTAAAAGAATAATCAAGTGTCCAAATAGTGCCACTATACAGTGGTCGTGGTCTAAAGTTAGTTATATACACATTAGTGTAAAATTGTTTATATCTATCTTCAAAATTGGTAAGATCTCTTAAAATGTTTTGAAATTTGGGAAACTAAACGTTATAACTCAAAATCCTTTTTTAAAATATCTAACGCAAGCTCCTGTCTTGAAATAAACATACAGATAATTTTTTTTTAAATTCAATTCCTACTTTGATGAAATATGAGTTTTAAACTCATTTGGGCCAGACCGATTCTGCCTGGTGAGCCCTCGGCAAGCCAAGCAATATGACCCGCGTTTCGTCGTGTTGTTTATATATGGATGAGCAGTCTATTAATCTATATATGTCATTGATCGTCATTAATATGACGTAAGCACCTTGACTTGGTCACATTTCTAGTTACTGATTTAAAATCGCCTAATGTATCTGTATAAATAAGTGTCAAATCTAAAACTATGAACTTCAACTATCCTGTATTAAAAATATACCCAATAATAAGCCATGTATCAAAGAAAATGTCGTTTTTTATAACAGCTCTGTTTTTAAACTAATAACGATTTCAATATTCACCGTTTGCCCATACCTTTTCCAATTCAATTCGATAGTTCTTTTAGACTTTTCGAGTAAAATGCAACAACTGCTTGAAACAAGTACTGGAAAACAGACAGAGTAGAAGAGAATAACTGCCGTTTTGTCTCTATCAAATTCAATTTAGCAAACACTTTATGAATATCTGATTCTTTAAAACGTTCTAAACGCTCAACTTTGGAAAAGGGATTCAGCAATATACAATATTGTATTTCGCCATATGACGCTGTCGGAATATGTAGAGTAGCTGTGGAACTTCCGCTCTACAGAGGATAATATTCTTAGTTTTAGAGATGGAGAAAATCCACAC